TTAATTTAATAAAAATAAAAATAATAATAATGATAAAATTGAGTAAAAATATTATTTGGATTTAATTGAAATTGATTTTGAAAAAAAGGGGTGAAAATTTGGATTCTAGGGGTATTTTTGAAAAGAAAATCAAAAATCGGGGGTCAAAACGCAATTTAGAAAAGTTGTGCCACGTCAGCAGCCCGGTCAGCAGTCCCAGCCAACCAGGACATGCCGCGTGGCAAGAAAACTCTGACATGGGACGGGCCACGTGGGCGATCGCGTGCGCGCGATCGGACGACCCAAATCCATTCTCACGCGCACGGACGACCCAGATCAAACGTGCGGACGGCTGACCCAGATTTCACGCGTACGGACGGCCTAGATCGCATCACGATGGACGGCCCAGATTTAATCCCAATTAAATCGCGATCGGACGGTTCAGATTTAATCTTGATGGACTGTTGAGATTAAAAGGCAAAGGGTATAAATAACCCCACCCACACCTGACCACAAAACCCTAGCCGCTAGTGCCTCGCCGGAGAAGAAGAACCAGATGCCGGAGGAGCCGACCGCCGCCACCCGTCGCCGCACTGGAGAAGTTTTCGACCGCCAATCGAGGTAAATTTTCTCCCCCTGGCTCGTTTTTCGATGCTGAATCCGCCTATGGCCAAACCAGAGCCAAACCACTGGCCAAATGGCCGAAAAACCCCGCCGAAGTCCGGCAGTGCCGCCTCGACTCCCCTCTATTTTTGCCTCCGATGAGGCCCTTCCCGACCTCTGTTCGATGCAAATTTTATACCACTGTGATCACCGTTCTTTTCTCTACAGGTTGATCAGAGCCAAACATCAAAACGCGACTCACGCCGGAGGAGCCGTCGCACCCGAGAGCACCGCCGCCGGTAAGTTTCAGTTTTTCGTGATTTTTTGGCCCACCGAGGGCCCTAGGGTTGTTCTATCACAGGGACCGATGCAAGCGTGGCCGAATTCGGCCGAAAACGGCCAATCTGAGGCGAATCGCCGACGCAAGCGGCGGCGCCGTCGCTGGAGCACGGCGGAGCCGCCGTGCCGGAATTGCGATATTGGCCGAAAAGGGCCCTGGGTCTAATTTGGGATTTTTTGGGACACGTGCAGGTACCAGTAGTGCGTTTCAGTTCCCCGGAAAAAATTCAGGAAAAGTTAGGAACAGCCTGTAGGCGCACTGTAGAGCCGTATTCAGACCCCGAAACAGGTAAGGACTCATCACCCTATTTCCTATCACGGTATTAAAGTTCAATAAATGATAAAACGGTATTTCATGAATCAATAGATGTGTGAAATTGTTTAAGGTCGCTAATGGAGCCCGAATCTGGTGTGTCTGTCGGTCAGCTGTTGTTTGGCTTATTTTACAGTTTTAAATGCAGTATGAGGTCTGATGTTTTCATTTCATAGTTCGTGTGCATATATCACTGTTTTATTGATTATGGGTTGAATGACTGATAACCCGATGTTGTGTGTTGTCTTGTTTGGCATAAATTACTGGTTTGTTGGTTTGTGTGTGATTTGATGATGCTAACTGAGGAAAAAGGGAATAAAAGGTTATGTAAATTGATAATTGTATAATGTGGTCAGCCTGACTAGATATCTTGAGAGATGGTGGACGGACTGGGTCCGTAGGGAACCCTACCGGGACTGTGGTCTCTCATACCGGACGGGGTATGGAGACCTTATGTGTTTTGGCACCCATACCGGATGGGGTATGGGGACAGTCCGTTTCACCCTCATACCACACGGGGTATTGAGGTATATGGTTTTGGCGCCCATACCGGACGGGGTATGGGGACGACCTTGGAATCTGATTATAAATGTTAAGGGTTCACGGGTAGCGGGACCCCTATGGATCCCCATGAATACTAGTAGGCTGGTAAATGAAGAAAATATGTTGTGTAATGATTGAAGTGCAAAGACGTGGTAAGTATTATGTTATACAGTTCATATGATTTCATGATGATGATAATGTTATTACGTTGGTATGTTGTTTTATGAACTTCACCGAGATAAGTGGACAGTAAAGGATTTTATTATTGATAAAAGAATTTGTTATAAATTATGCTCATTGGTCTTTTGTGTTTTCTACTCACCTTTACCTCGTGGCGGTGAGATAGTGTGATGTCTTTACTGGGCTGGTGTAGTTCATTCCTTATTTAACCATTTCAGATCAGGAAGACATTATTCTCGAGCCCGTTCCGCAGGAAGACGGCGAAGGGGACGCCTAAAGACTCCGTAGTTATATTTATAGTTTTTATTTTCGAGTTTCTCTCTTAGTTAGTTTGAAATTTCATATTTTGAGTACGTTTTGGTTATTGTATAAGAGATGTTAGTCAAAATTTTTATCACGCTTCCGCATTTGACATTTTTAATATATATATTTCATTTAAATTTCCGGGGCCGTTACATAATGTGTAGTTATACATATTATATAAAATAAATTAATTTATATCTAAGTTTAATTATTTATATTTATAATCTAATTTTGGTTCACCTATATAAATGTATATTTTTTTTAGTTCTTATTATTATTTAAAATAATAACAATTTTAAGAAGTTATAATTTTTTTTGAAGTATCTTGATTGAGAATACGCCTTTCTTTGAAATTGTACAGATTTATTCTCCTATTTTAAAATAATTGTATTTAAATTGTTAATCTATTTTTATTATTTTTATTTAAATTAGAGAATATATATATTTATGTTACAAAAAAAATATTTTAAAATTTTTATTAATAATTAAATTATTATTTTGATATTAAATTTTAATTAATTTTTATATATTATTATATAAATATATAATTTAAGCTAAAATATTGTATTAAAATAACAAATCACATTGTTGTTAAGTATAGTAAATTTTTTAAAAGAAACAAATAAATGTATTATATTAATTAATAAAAAATTATGTAATAAATGAGAAAAACAATGAGAATATAGAAATGAAATAAAAAATTTAGCATGTTGATCAAGCCTTCATGCATAATAAAAAAAAAAATTAATGATCACATTTTTCATGAAGTCAAGACTTTTGAACAAATGACTAGTTAGAGAGCCTTGTTGTCCACCACATTCATGCCCTAGAGTCTCTGGAGATGCGGTTGCTAATACCATAGGGATTTCTGTACTATACAGTAGAAGATGACACATACATCCAGATTCCAACTGAAAGTGGTGGTTAAGCTTGGGCCTTTAATTAAAAAACATGATCATGCATTCTAAAATTTACAAACAGTCAACATAAAATCTGAAAGATGAAACTTTAAATCTGCACAATTATTAAGTTAGAGTTATGATTAGGGGGGATTAGCATTGTGCATTATGCACATAATAAATGCAAGTGCGGTATTGCCAACCCCTAAAGCAACACTTGTAGCGACCAAAGCAGATATAAGAGGTGTATTATGCATTTTGGATCTTTTGTACACACTCTGCAAGTCTTTCGACTTGCCATTCCTTCATGAGCATCACAGTTTATCTTTTAGAAACACATATATACACATTACTCAGCATAACATGTAGTGGATTTGCACAGAAATATATACATATACAACCAAAATAATGATAAAAATTTATTTCTCATAAGGCCAGTCGGGACACCTCCACCTTTTATTAGCCAAAGTATCATGGTCGAGCTTGTAATCCCTAATAGTGCAGAGGTAAAATCGTCGGTCTTTTTTACACCTTGTGTAGGTAATGAACTCGCTTCGATGGAACTGCTGCTTTCCACCAATGAGCCTTAATATGTTATTTAGGTTTACAGCAAGTTTGTAGTATTTGATTTCATACTTCTATACAAATAGGAGATCTTGTAGGCATTCCTTATGCCCACAAAGGCCATGAAACAAATAAAAAATTGAATGATTTTTTATTTCTATACAAATAAGAGATCCTGTACGTATTCATTCTCTCTATAAAAGTCGTGTGACAAATGACAGATAGTCAAACAAATAAAGAAAGTTATAAAGTTATCAAAATAATTAGTATCTTAATAGCAGTTCATTTTAGCACAAGATTTAACGTTTTGGAATAGTACAGATTGAATTGTTAATTGCATCTCTATGCCACCAATTTTACCTGCTTAATATTGATTGATAATTTCTTTTTTTATATATTTATGTACATCTATTTATATATAATATGAGAAAAAATTTGAGATCAAAAATTAGTTTTAAGGGTAAAAATTGAGTTGAAAATTAACAGACAACATCATGTAAGGAAAACAAATGTTGACTGTGAGCTAAGAGAAAGAGAAAATAAATTAATTACTTGAGCAGAAAACTTCCAAAGAGGATAAATTTTTTATTTTTAACCTCTAATAGACCATGCAGTGGAATAATATTTTTATGTATAATTATCTTTTAAAATTTCCTACAAGGTTACTAATAAGTTAAATCTAACTCAAAAAACTTACAAATGTATCACATTAATTAAACTTACAAGATCAGTAATAAATTAATTTAATATTACAAAATAGAGTTTGTACGAGTATACAATCATTTGAAAGACTCACAAGATCCTAATCCTAAATGTTGTGACCGTAACAACCTTTAGTTTATAGTTTAAAATGTAACAAACCCTAACCTATAATGGTGGTGGCATCCTCATTTAAACTACAGATCATCACAACCATCTTCACTTCAAAAAACTTTCTCCACATGCTTAGATATCGAGCGTGCATATCTCATATCATTCATACTATAATCTAGAGAGTAACAATAGTGTATTTACACATGTATGTAAAAATTTAACTACTGTGTCAATGTGTGTAACTTAGTGTCAATGCTGTCTATTTTCTTTTTCTATTTCCTTATATATTTGGCTCCACTGGTTGTAATTCTTATACTGGTTCATGCTTCACAGTATCTACAAACAAACAGTAATGAGCCTACATATGCCCAGTAAGTCAAATTCAAATTTAAAACAGTGTGTTGAAATCAATAAAATTCCTAATATAGAGTTCTCCCTCCTCTAGGTCTCTACCACTCCTGCCAGCCTATATCTTCATTATGCTAGTGTTCTGGGTTTTACCAACCTTCCTCAGAATCTATATGGACCCTCTACCCTCTTCTTGTCTTATTCTTCTTTTTGCTTGTTTCTACCCTGTCCTCACTTCCCTCTTCAAATAGCCTATTTTTCTCTTCATTTCTTGTTTCTACAGCCCACGTTCAGCATATAACTGTCCTAGAATCTTTTTTTTTTTAATTTTTTTTTTGCTAGAAGACCCCCCCATAAATCAACCACAAGATATCCCCATGTTCCCTATTGTTCCCAGTCCCACCTTTCTCTCTGAATTCAGCTTAAACAACATATTTCTTTTCCCACTCTGTAGTTTATGGTTTGCTTAAATATTATTCCTTCCTTTCTTTTATGACCCACAATTATCCACTCCCTTCTTACAGTATTTCCATACCTAGTTTGCCTTCAACCTGCAGACACCAGCAATAAATAGAGTCATATTTATCATGGAGCAATTCACACTATTTTATTCTTCGCATACCTGCAATTGCTTGGCTCTTCCACCTATATCCCCTCCATCTCATGTGTATACCATTTTATGTTCAGTGCCAAGCACAATATATTTTTTTTAGACGATCGTTATTTGGTCACACACACACCCCATCATAACATTCTGCTTGGCAGACGATTTGTCCCAGTCCAAATTTAAACAACAATAGATTATAAATCCGGTGTCACACACCTTTCGACCAACCGTCGGCCAACATTTATTTTCATTGACCAATACCTTAAAATAGGGAGAAGAAACAGTAGATGTTGAGACTAGAGGATGATACAATGTTCGACCACTATTTGGCCACTCACACAACACGGTGTCATACACCTTTCGACCAACCATTGGCCATTCTTTTATTCAATTATTTTCAACAATTTATATCAAGGCAATACATTAAAGTAGAAAGAAAATTAGTAGGTGGTATGGCAAGGAACAATGAAATATCTGACTCATATTAGGCCCATACACATACTCACAACTACTTGCATAACACACAGTTCACATAAGCATTGTACAAAATTTTTAGAACCACAGATGAGGTATTTCCATTTTTATGCTCCATCTAACCATCATTCAGTCCCATTTTTTCTTAAGGTTTACCAGTACTTCAGTACGGTTCCAGGTTTTTTTTATAAGGTCTATTATCCTAATACCCAATCCTCTCCAAAGATGACCACTCCTTTTATTTCCTTACCTCATCACCCTTTTTTCTATTTCCCTCATTTCTCATGAATCTTCTTCTTCCACTTCTTTCACTTCTATACAGATCTAATCTTCTCACTCAATGTAGGATAGTACTTATATTTTGATTTACCTCCGTTTACCCATCCGCCGTCTACCAAGAACTTCTTTCACCCTACTCCCATTACACAATTATATATATCTATATACACATTTTGGGTGTAACCCCTGATGATGCATGATCTAATTTTCCACCACCCGATTAAGCTACCAAATTATTTTCCAACCCAAATCATGCATACATTCTCCATAAGAAGGAATTTAAAATATGAATCTCAACTTTGGTGTTTGAAATTCAAATTCGTCTTACCTCTAGATTCTATTTGTGTTCGTTGCAGCAGCTGTTCTCTCATATTTGTCTCTCTTTGTTGGCTTCCGATGAGGGCTCTCCTCTTAAATCTTCCTTTAATTCCCTTGTCTGCATTCCCTTCGATTGTACTCTCTGCTCTCACTCTCTTTTCCCTCTTGTGTCTCTCTCGCAACCCGTCTCTCCTTTTATGTTGGGTCTGGCTAACATTGTAGCCGTTGGAGGAAATCAAGCCATCTCAGCCATTCCTTATGGTATTTCTCCATCAGCACCGCTCGACGTGCTTGGTCAATACCACATGGCTTCATCCGGATCATCCTTTATTTGGTTGTTGTGCTCTGACGCGATCTATACACCTGTCAACACCTAATTGGTTCTATAGCTCCTCATTTGCTGGTCTTTTTGTTTGTTCGGGATTTCCCATTTTCCTCGGTTTGTTTCTTCTCAGAGTTTAGTTTTTATCTAGTCGTTTAACATTATTATTAATTTAATTAATTGTCCTAACTAATTCTCATACCTTCCTTTATGTGTTGAAATGTGGATCAAAGTTAATTTTCATAGTTTTCAGAACTTAGGTAGGTCATTTTTTTTTATATAAAGATTTATTCATTTCTATATATCTATATTTTTCTTGATTCCCTAGAATGTTACATAAAATGTTATCATTATCAACTTATATTTTTTATATTACACTATGTAGAATGTTAAAAATATTTTAGAATTTTCATTAACAATTAGATCATATTTCTGATATTAAATTTTAACTAATTTTTATATATTGGTATATAAATATATGATTTAAATTAAATTTTACATTAAAATAACTAATTACATTATTATAAAGTATAATAAATTTTTCAAAAGAAACAAACAAATGTATCGCATTAATTAATAAAAACCACACAATAAATGAAAAGAACAAAGAGAATTTAGTTATGAAAAAAAAATTTATCATGTTGATCAAGCATTCTACCAAATCAAAATCTTGATATCTTGTATGGATTTTGATGAAGTTCTCTTATATAATAGTATTATAACAAAATCAAAAAAATAAATTCAACTTTACCACAAATTATTTTTATACACCAGATGTGTACATAAAAAATGTGAAACTTCAGTATCTTTGAATTTAAAAAATTTGCTAATTTTTGTTACGTATTTTTTATTCTTAAATTACTAATTTGAAATAAAAAATTATTAAGTGATTGTGATTCTCTTAGTTTTATTTGTATAATTTTTTAACAAAAATTTATGGTGTCATACTTGTATGATCAACAAATTTATTTATATTCTGAAGCAATTAAAACTTAATTATCTAATTTGAATTAATTATCAAGATAATAAATGTACATACATATGTATGTACAGTTCGGTAAAGAAATGTGAAGAGGGTAGACTTGGTTAACTATTATTATTAAATTGGTCTTCTAAAGATAAAAATTACGAAATTAAAAAATAGTTATTAGAAAATATTCAAAGCAATTGTGATCTATCTCATTTTCCTTCGTTCACTTTTCCTTTTGAGGTTCATGATTCTAATAGCACGAACCATCTTCATCCAGAATTTTAAATTCCCATAAAACTCATCTTTCTAAAAATTAAAAAAATATTATAAAACTGTATAAATTGTAAAAATATTTTTTAGATTAATAAGACTAGAAGATTGAGTTTTTGTTGCTTATAATTCAAAAATATATATTCTCATGCGATAAACTTTTAACATTATCTCAACAAAATTGTTTCTTACTTTTAAAAAAATGGCTAATAAGTTCTTGCTCACAAAGATTAAATTTAAAAGTAAATTTTATTTGAAATTACTCATTTTGTACTATAATGGCAGCCATAGAACTAGTAAAATCAATGTTCATAAGCATTTTATATAAATTAAGTAAAATATCCAATAAGTATAATAAAATCAAGTCTCAAATAGTCATGGATTCTTTATTTAGGAAATCACATTTTAAAGAGCCACAATTCTTTATTTACTTTAAATAGTTTATGATTCTTTATTTGAGTTCAATGATTTCATAAGTTATAGTATAAAATAAGACATAGAAGTATTGTGAAAAGTTGGTCACCTTCTTTATGAATTTTACATTGTTATCGTTATCGACTTATGATTTTATATTATACTATACTTTGAGTAGGATATTAAAAGGTATCTCAAAATTTTCAGTAACAATTAAATCATGTTTTTAAAGTTAATTACTAACCAATCTTTATATAATGATATATAAATACATGATTTAAGGTAGAGATATTGTATTAAAATAAATAATCACATTATTGTAAATTACAGTCGACGTTTTTGTGTAACGTAGCTTTTTACTTTATCAGTGGTTATAAACTTCTGTCATTATATCAATAAAACAACTTTCTTTTACTTTAAAAAAAAAATGATGATTAAGTTTTTTATCGCATGGATTAAAATTCAAAAATTAATTTTAGTATTGTTGGCGATCATAGAATTAATAAAATCAATATTTTTAATTATTTTGTATATATTTAGTTAGATATCATATAAATATAATAAAAACGCGTCTCAAATAGAGATGAATTCTTCATTTAAGTTTAGGATTTCAAAAAATGAAACCACTTTCCAAATAGTCATAGATTCTTTATTTAATTTCAAAGATTTTATAAGTTATAGTATTATAAAATTTACATTTTTCACGGCCTATATAAAATACACAACAGTATCTTATTTATCCTCCCATCACAATTCAATTGTTCTTCAATTAAACTTAGTCTTCTTGACTAGTGCAACAAAAAAGTACAGTGAAAGTTAGTTTTCCAAAGCCTACATAATCTCTCAAGTTATTTATTATAGATTAAACTTAAGGGTACGCACTTAACCTCCACTCATTCGAATAAAGAAAAAAAAATAACTTTCTTTCCATTCTTCTTAATCTTCAGGCATAAATATAAAATCTAGATGTTCAATGTTAATATTTTTTACAATCTAAATCTCAGGTCATAAGGTTTAAAGGAGGAAGCTTTAGAGAAGATCTGTACCAACAATATCTTACAGGACCCAAAACCATATTGCACTCGTTCCAACTCGGTAAGGCTTCACTTGTGCCATCCATACCAAAATTGTAGCGCCCGGACCGAGGAGGAGAAGAAAAAAAAAAAAAAAAGGGCCACGTCGGCAGCCACGTCAGCAGGCCCGGTCAGCAGTCCCGGCCAACCGGGACCTGCCACGTGGCAAAACCACGTCGTTCCAAAAAAAGGGCCACGTTGGTGATCCGCGTGGGCGCGATCGGACGGCCCAGATTTAAACGCACGGACGGCCCAGATTTAATAAAAAACGGACGGCCCAGATTAAAACAAAATGGACGGCTGAGATCAAAAGGCAAAGGGTTATAAATAGAACCCCCACACCAGACCACAAACCCTAGCCGCCTGCCACTCGCCGGAGAAGACGAACCAGAAGCCGGCCGCCGCCACTCGCCGCCGCACCGGAGGAACTTCCGACCGCCGATCGAGGTAAATTTCGTACCCCCGACTCATTTTTCCACGCTGATTCCTCCTGTGGCCAAATCGGAGCCAAAATCCCGGCCAAACGGCCGGAATGCACGGCTGAAGCCCAGCGGCGCCGCCGCGCCCTTCTCGATTTTTGCCTCCGATGAGGCCCTTCCCGGCCTCCGTTTGATACAATTTTTATATTACCGTGATCACCACTCTTTTCTCTACAGGTTGACCGGAGGCGAATCACCAAAACACGAACCTCGCCGGAGAGCCGCCGCACCCGAGAGCGCCGCCGCCGGTAAGCTCCGTTTTTCCGTGATTTTTTGGCCCCCCGAGGGCCCTAGGGTTGTTTTCTCGCAGGGACCGATGCGAGTGTGGCCGAATTCGGCCGGAAACGGCCAAAAACAGCCAACCCGAGGCGAATCGCCGCCGCCAGCGGCGGCGCCGTCGCCGGAGCACGGCGGAGTCGCCGTGCCGGAGTTGCGATTAGGGCCGAAAGGGGCCCTGGGCCTAATTTGGGATTTTTTTGGAACACGTGCAGGTACCAGTAGTGCGTTTCAGTTCCCCGAGGAAAATTCAGGAAAAATTAGGGACAGCCCGCAAGCGCACTGTGAAGCCGTGTTCGGACCCCGAAACGGGTAAGGACCCCTCACCCTATTTCCTATCACGGTTTTAAAGTTCAATAAATGATAAAATGATATTTCATGAATCAACGAATGTGTGAAATTGCTTAGGGTCGCTAATGGAGCCCGAGTCTAGTGTGTTTGTCGGTTAATTGTTATTTGGCCTGTTTTACAGTTTTAAACGTAGCATGAGGTTCGATGTTTTTATTTTATAGTTTCGTGTGCATGTTTTACTGTTTTATTGATTATGGATTAAATGACCGGGATATTGATGCTGCATGTTGTCTGCTTAGCATAAATTATCGTTTTGCTTGCTTGTATGTGGATTAATGATGCTAACTGAGGAAAAAGGGAATGAACAATTATGTAAATGGATAATGGTATAATGTGGTCAGCCTGACTAGATATCCTGGGGATGGTGGACGGACCGGGTCCGTAGGGAACCCTACCGGGATTGTGGTCTCCCATACCGGACGGGGTATGGAGATCTTATGTGTTTTGGCGCCCATACCGGACGGGGTATGGGGACGGCCCGTTTCACCCTCATACCGGACGGGGTAATGAGGTCTATGGTTTGGCGCCCATACCGGACGGGGTATGGGGACGGCCCTGGAATTTGATTTCAAGTGTTAAGGATTAACGGGTAGCGGGACCCCTATGGATCCCCATGGATACTAGTGGGCTGGTGAATGAGGAAAATATGTTGTGTAACGATTGAATTACGAAAAGTGTGATAGGTATTATGTTATACAGTTCATATATATGTTTCCATGATGATGATGATGTTATTGCTTTCGTATATTATTTTATGAATTTCACCGAGGTAAGTAAATGGTAAATGTTTTATTTATCGATAAGAGGATTTGTTGTAAATTATGCTCCATTGGTCGTTTTGTGTTTTCTACCCACCTTTACCTCCGTGACGGTGAGATATCGTGATGTCTTTACTGGGCTAGTGTAGCTCATTCCTTATTTAATCATTTTAGATCAAGAGGACATCGTTCCCGAGCCGATTCCGCAGGAGGACGACGAAGGGGACGCCTAAAGACTCCATAGTCACATTCGTAGTTTTTACTTTCAAGTTTCTCCTTTAGGTAGTTTAATCTTTTATATTTTGTGAGCACGTTTCGGTTTCAGTGTAAGGGATGTTATTCAAATTTTGACCTCGCTTCCGCAT